GGGAGCCTAGAGGGGTGGGTGACACCTTGACTAGACCAGCGCCTGGTGCAGAGGAGGACAGAGCCTCCGAGAAACAGAGGCGGGGCCCTGCAGGGTCCCTTGGGGAACAGGCAGGCTCAGGAGCAGAGCAGAGGGGAGCCCTGGAGGAGAGGAAGGAGCTGGCAAGATGATACAGGGACAACCTGGAGGTGGGTGGGTGAGGACGGGGTGGTGCAACTTCGACTTCTGCGGGGAGTGGGTTGGCAGCCCAGCCCCTGTGGAGCCAGCGTGGGGTCTGCAGGGCCCAGGCCTCCTGCCTGCCACCGGCTGGCACAGGCCACCCTCTCCCTCGACACCTAGGAAGGGAGGCTAGTGAGGGCCCTGCAGACCGAGGAGGCTGTCGCCTGGCCCTCAGCCAGAATGGCTAGGTATGATGGGCTCATTGGCTCACACGCCCTCTCCCAGCCAGGGGTGCTGCATGAGGGGCCGCAGGGGCGACCGCATGACCATCAACATCCAGGAGCACATGGCCATCAACGTGTGCCCCGGGCCCATCCGGCCCATCCGCCAGATCTCTGACTACTTCCCCCGCCGAGGACCCGGACCTGAAGGGGGCGGTGGCGGGGGCCAGGCCCCCACCCATCTGGCCCCCCTGGCTCTGGCCCCTCCTGCAGCCCTCCTTGGGGCCACCACGCCTGAGGATAGTGCAGAAGTGGACAGCTATGACTCGGATGATGCCAGTGAGTCTGGGGGCTTGGAGGCCCCATGCGCTGGTGGGGGTCTCCAGGCTTGCCGTGCCGGGGGAGGGGAATGGGCCCTGCTGGCTGTGCATGTAGGTAGGGGAGGAGGGCAGTGGCGGGGGGGGGAGGTGGCAGGGATGGCTGCCACAGCTGCAGTCGGTGTGGAGATTACAGCTTCAGCAAGGCTCAATATTCAGTATTTCTGCTGAGACACTCCACCACCCACACAGCCCCAGTTGCAGCCGAGCCAGGGACCCAGACGCACACACGCACGGGCCCACTCAGCCTCTTGCACTCACACTCGCCGGCTGGCAAGAGAGAGAGAGACACACACACAGCCAGTGCCCACCTGCTGGCCTCTCTCACACACCTGTCTCCAAACCGATCCATGCTGCCTTTCCTCTCTCTCCAGCCGCCCTGGGCATGCTGGAGTTTGACCTTCTGTATGACCGGGCCTCCTGCACTCTGCATTGTAGCATCCTCAGGGCCAAGGTGGGCACTCCCTGCTGCCCCAGCCCGGGCCGGTTTGCGTGCAGCCCCCAGAGGGGGCCCATTCCTCCTTCCCTTCCCAGGCCTGCTCCTTCCTCCTGCCCTTGCAACCCCCTTCTGGGCTCCTCCAGGGTCCAGCTCTACAAGAGGGAGAAAGGTGCCGGGACCCTCCAGCCCTCTCCCCTGCCCTCCTCTCCAGGGCCTCAAGCCCATGGATTTCAATGGCCTCGCCGACCCCTACGTCAAGCTGCACCTGCTGCCTGGAGCCTGTAAGGTAACAGCCTCCTCTCACCCTGCTCGGCCCAGCCCGTGCCTCCAGCCCGTGGGGCTGGAGGACAGGTATTGAGAACCTTTCATCCCCACACCCCAGGCTAATAAGCTAAAAACGAAGACTCAGAGGAACACACTGAATCCCGTGTGGAATGAGGACCTGACGTACAGTGGGATCACGGATGATGACATCACGCACAAGGTGCTCAGGTGAGGGCTCCCCTCCCCACCACCCAGGTCCAGCAGCAGCTCAGGGACAGCTGACATTGTAACTGCTGGTTGGTTGATCTATGTCCCATTAAGTCTGTACCTCTCTGATGCTCAAGAACCATCAGCGGCTCCTTAGCCCCTTTGGCAGCAGGCCAAAATACGTCCCTGCCATTCCTGCCCCCCAATATCTCCTGCCAGCCAAGTGTGGTGGCTCACGCCTGTAATCCCAGCACTTTGGGAGGCCAAGGTGGGCAGATCACTTGAGGTCAGGAGTTTGAGACCAGCCTGGCCAACTTGGTGAAACCCCATCTGTACTAAAAATACAAAAATTAGCTGGGCATGGTGGCGTGTGCCTGTAAATCCCAGCTACTTGGGAGGCTGAGGCAGGAGGATCGCTTGAACCCAAAAGACAGAGGTTGCAGTGAGCCGAGATTGCACCACTGCAGATCGCTTGAACCCAAGAGACAGAGGTTGCAGTGAGCCGAGATTGCACCACTGCAGATCGCTTGAACCCAAGAGACAGAGGTTGCAGTGAGCCGAGATTGCACCACTGCACTCCAGTCTGGGTGATAGAGGGAGACTCTGTCTCAAAAACAAAAATATCTCCTGCCCCTCAAACAGAGGACTCCCTTTTTCCAACTGGCCAGTTCCACAACTCCTGAACTTAACTTGTTGTTTTCTATATGGAAAGCTCCTTCCTGCCAGCCTAAATTCCGCTCATCTGAGACTCAGTCCAAGCTCTGCCCCCTCCCAAAAGCGTTCCTGGGTTACTGAGACTCCTTCTCAGAGCCCTTGGCTGAAGTCAGACCTCTGCAGCTTTGGTCTGCCCCTTCCATGCCTTGAGTTCCCCTAAAATCTCTTAAGGAGTGAAGTCTTCAGGGACAGGGAACTTGCTCTGTCATCCCAGGAGATGGAGATGTGGGGAGAGTATTCCCTCAAGTCAGGTGGCGGGCAGTGAGACCCAGGCTCCGGAGAGACCTCTGCCTTTGTGCTTGGATTTGCATTTGGGACCTTCCCTGATGGTCAGGGCCGTGTGGCAGGGAGGCCACCTTGGTGTCGGGTGTGCGGGTGGAATGGAGGGGAGGCCAAGAGGCCAAAACCAGAATGAGACCTAAAAATGAGCACTCACCAGGGCCCAGCATGGGCTTAGTATTTTCACATTTCTTTCTTTCCCTTGACTATCTCCATTTACAGATGGGAATTGAGACGTAGGGTGATCAAGTGACTTGCCCAAGGTCACACAGGTGGCTCAGAAGTTGCAGGGTTGGGATCTGCCCATCCTCCATGCCACAGATGCCCAACCTGGTAGTGGGTCACTGCAGAGGCAGGGCAGGGGCTGCTGGAGGACAGGTGGCCGGACAGCAATCATTTCTTAGTGAGTCCCTGTGGGGCTGGCGCTCTGCTGCATGCAGGAAAAGAACGGGGTTCCCGAGGAGGCATGGGGTCCTTGTCTGGCTGTCCAAGGCTCTCACGGCCTGTGTCTGTGGCCACATCCACTGTGGTGTTTGGCTTCTGCCCCCAGGCCTTGAATGGAGGCAGTGATCAGGGTGCTCCAAGATTTCTGAGGGCTTCCCACAATGGCCGAGCACGTTCTGATGGACCAGGGACAGCCGGTTGGCTGCACAGGGAGGGACAGAGGAATGGGCAAATCCGCTTGTCCTTCTCAAGTGCCAGCCTGTCTTCCAGATGAGACGTAGTGTGTAGGGCAGAGCTGGGCTGGTTCAAGGCCCTTCCTACACCCCAGAACAGGGCTCAGGTACCCCAGGGGCCCTGACGCTGCAGTTCCCCACCAGGATTGCCGTCTGTGATGAGGACAAGCTGAGTCACAATGAGTTTATTGGGGAGATCCGCGTGCCCCTCCGCCGCCTGAAGCCTTCGCAGAAGAAACATTTTAACATCTGCCTCGAGCGCCAGGTCCCGGTGTGTGCGGGGGGCTGCAGGGGCACCGGGGGAGGGGGCCCTGGGGAGGCCAGGCTTCCAGAACCTTCTGTTTGCCCCCTCAGCTGGCATCCCCCTCTTCCATGTCGGCGGCGCTGAGGGGCATCTCCTGTTACCTGAAGGAGGTGAGGCATCTCACAGGGATGGGGATGCACGTGGGTGGGAGGCGGCAGGGGCCCAGGCTGACCCTGCATCTGTGCCCCGCAGTTGGAGCAGGCGGAGCAGGGCCCGGGGCTGCTGGAGGAGCGCGGCCGCATCCTGCTGAGTCTCAGCTACAGCTCGCGGCGCCGGGGACTGCTGGTAGGCATCTTGCGCTGCGCCCATCTGGCTGCCATGGACGTCAACGGTTACTCGGACCCCTACGTCAAGACGTGAGCCCTCGCCCTGACCCTCTCCTCCCCAGGGAGCCTGCCCTGGCCCGAGTTGGGCCTGGCCTGTCTCTGACCCCTCAGTTCCTCTCCCTCCACCCCACCTCTAGGTACCTGAGGCCTGATGTGGACAAGAAATCCAAGCATAAGACATGCGTGAAGAAGAAGACTCTCAACCCAGAATTTAACGAGGTACCCGGGTGGGGATGGGATGCAGAGGGAGGCCAAGGAGGGGCTGGGGAGCCGGCTCACGAATGGGTGGCTGGCCTTGTTCTCAGGAGTTTTTCTACGAGATAGAGCTCTCCACTCTGGCCACCAAGACCCTGGAAGTCACCGTCTGGGACTATGACATTGGCAAATCAAATGACTTCATCGGTGAGGGAGGAGCTGGCTGAGGGTGCTGAGGGAGGGTGAGTGGCAGGGAGGTGGCCCTGACCCTGCCACTTGCTCCCCCAGGTGGCGTGTCCCTGGGGTCAGGTGCCCGAGGCGAGGCTCGGAAGCACTGGAGTGACTGCCTGCAGCAGCCGGACGCAGCCCTGGAGCGCTGGCACGCCCTGACCAGCGAGCTGCCCCCCGCGGCTGGGGCTCTGTCCTCAGCCTGAGTGGACAGCAGTGTCCTGGTACAGGCCTATCGGGCCGGGTGCAGTACCCAACCTTCGCACGAGTGTGTTGCACGTTTACACGGGGTGGGCTGCCCCCACCCTGCACTACCTGTCTTATTTTTGTGAATCTCTGTGACCTGGGTCTGTCTGCTCGTGAGGGGCTGTGGAGTTCTATATTCATATATGCAAACCTCCTGCCTGACTCGCTAGTCCCTGCAAATATGCAAAGCCCCCCTCCTCTGCACACCCGGGCAGTGCTCAGAGCCCGGCCCCAGGCCCCCACGCTCCTCGCTCCTACCTCTCCACGCTGCCCCGTCCCTCTCCCCCCACAGGGAGGAGGTCGGATTAGGGGAGGTTCAGAGGAGGAGAATGCCTCAGAAAAAGAGAAAAGGACAAAAAACACACCCAGAGCCACTCCTTTAATACAGAAACTTCATTGCAAAAACCTAGCCCTGTACAGCTGCCCTTTTAAAGGGGTGGCCATCGCAGGGTCTCTGCCTCCCCAGCAGGGGGCAGATGCTCCCGGCCACTCGTTTAAATAACTGTCCCCTGGAGGGGGCCAGAGTTTGAAGGCAGGGCCCTTGCCACCCTCCTGGGGGACACCCGTGCATGTTTACGCCTTTTCTGGTTGTGTCAGTGGCCGGAGCATGGCAGCTGGGCGTCAATAAACACCTCCGAGGAAGCTGGGCTCGTGTGTGCTGGCACAGGGAGGGCGCCGGGCAGGGCTGTGGTGGGCATGGCATGATGTCGCGGTCACTCCGGGATGTCGATCACCAGGTCATCGTCCCCATCCAGGGCATCGTCCCCGCTACCTGCGTCGCTGAACATCTGCCGAGGGACCGTGCTCAGGATCGTAGGGGGGGGCATCTTGGGGGGTGGGAGGGGGGTCAGGGCTGTCCCGACCCCAGCCCCAGAACCCCGGCCAGGGAAGGTCAGCGGTCCTCCCACAGGGCAGTCAGGGGGCCCCACCGCCATCTGCAGCAGGGGAAGAAACACAGGGGGACTAGTCAGGGAGGCACTGGGGCCTCAGGAGACCGGGCCCTGCCCCCCAGGGCAGCTCTGGGGACGGGGAAGGGGCCCTGGGCACAGCCAGGCCAACCTATGCTGCACTCAGGGCCTGCCCGCCCCCAGCCCCTCGAGAGCCTCAAACCAGCAAGTGCCTGGGGGTGGTGATGGAGGTGAGATGAGGGGATGGGGTGCCTCATAGGAAACCGGAAGGGAAAGGCCCGGCCCTGCCCTCTCCAGGGAGGTGCCTGGGCTGCCCTGAGACAGGGGTTAAGCCCGAGGTGGAGTCGGCCTGGACTGCTTGCCTGCCTGCCACTGGGCCCCGAAGGTGCCACCTGCCGCCACTGGCTTCCTCTCCCTCCTCCTCCTCTCCCTCTTCTGCGGAACTCACTGGTTCGGTGGAGGGTATTGCAGGCTGCCTGAGCCAAGAGCCCCGGTGGCTTCTCTGCCCCCCAGAAGCTTCTATTATGTCTTGGATGGGCCCCTCCTCGGTATCCCCACAGCCGTGACCTAGGCCCAGCCCTCCTCTCAGCTCACCTGGGCTGCGGTCCCAGCCTCCTAACTGGACTCCCTGCCTGCAGCCTCTCCCAGATCCAGCTCCTCCGCACTGCAGCCAGAGCGCGCGCTCTAAAACACAGACCTGAGCGCGTCACCGCGCCACTCAGGGCCTCGGGACGGGAGTGCTGCCTGCCGGATGACAGGCGGCCCCTCCACCTGGGCATCCTGCTCTATTTGTCAGAAGTCCTGCTTCGTCCTCTGAGGCTGGGAAGTGGCCTCTGCCCTGCCCAACCCTTCAGCACCCCCAGCTGCCAGGTCCTCACAAACCCTCCCCAGAGAGCTCTGTGGGTCTGTCTCCTCCGCAGTCCCCATGCTTCGTCTGTGGGCACAAACTGGGCACGGGCTGTGTGCCAGGTGGTTTGTTAATGCCCTCCCAGCCTCAGGACACTGGGGAGCGGAGACAGGTCACGTGCCAGAGAAGGAGACTGAACCTGGTGTGGACATGGAGGTCCTGAGGCACAGGCCCGCTGGGTCCTGCGGGGCAGTGGCAGTGTCCAGTCTGGCCCTGGGCTAGATGCTGGGTGGGCTGGCAGGAAACGCCATGCGCAGTCTCCAGTGGCCCTTCTGAGTGTCACATTTGGCCCTGTGGCCTCCTTTCTGCTTCCTAAGGAGCCCTCACCCTCATCTCCACTGCTGGGGTGGCGTGGGGGCCAGGGTGGGTCAGGCCTCAGGGTATAGAAGACTGGAAGGATGGATGACAGGGGGTCCAACTCTGAACAGCACCCCCGTGCCCTGCAGCAGGCCCCCACATGTACACACGGGAGCAGACATGTGTGTATGACTGGAAAGCACCATCCCCTTCTCTGGCCACCCCCTCCTTCCCCGCTGTGCGCAGCATGTCCCACCCTGGCCTGGACTTCCTCAGTGGCATCCTCTCAGCCTGACTGGCAGCGACTCACGTTTCTCTGTGGCTTACTAGGAGCCAGGCATGGGCCAAGCAATTTTCATCCCTTCACTCACATTCTCCCCACAAGGACGCCACTGAACAGAGAAAGAGAGCTGTGGCTCCAAGTGTGAAATGACACGCTGAGGTCGCATGGTGAGTACCGGAAGAGCTGGGATTCAAAGCCGGCCAAGTCTGACTCAGGCCTGACAGAACCAACCGGCTTCTGTATTCACAGTTATCCCTTCTCTGCTTGGACTCCCTTCCTTCCATCTCCTCGCTCCCCTGACAGTAACAGACAAACTCCCACTTCAGGCCAGTGTCCAGGCCTTCCATGATGCCGCCCCACCTGGTTCTTCTTGCCAATTTCTTACCACTCCTGCTCTGGCCCAGAGAGTGCTTTCACTGTGGCCCTGGCTCCCTTCCCACCATGGCTTCAGCCAGGAATATCCAAATCCACTCACCCTGGGCTCACACGTTCTCCTCGCTGAGGCCTTTCCTGGCTTCTCCCCACCTCCCCCGACAGCTATGGACCTGGGCCGCCCTCCCAAATCTTCTCTCCAGAATGTCTAGAACTTTGCTCCCAGACACAACTCCGCTTCAGGAGTCAGCACCAGGCCAGAAAGCCTCTAAGTGCCCCCCAGTGCTGCACCACTCCCCACCCTGCCCGCCATCCCCCTGCTAAGGACCAGGGCCAGTACTGTCACCTCTGCTACTCAGGCTCAAGAGGTGAAGCCTCACAGGGCCAAGGTCACACAGAGAAAACGGCAGAGTTGGGATTGAAGCTCCAGATCCTGTACTCCAGACCACCGCAAATGCAGCCTCTCATTCTGCTTCTGGGTCCAGAATCGTGGGAGCCGCCCAGCTGGTCCCCATTCCACTCTGCCCCTCAGCCCATCCCCATCTCTCCCAAGGCTCGCATCTACCACTAGCCTGGTGGCTTCCAAATGCGCAGCCCCTCATGGGCTGCTGTCTAGCTTCCTTTCCAGGTGGCACCTGACACATCCGCGGCCAGACTCAGCTTCCCTCCAAGCCTGTGCTCCCACAGCCCTCCCATCTCGAGGGAGGGAGACTCCACTTATGCTCAGACTAAAGCCCTGGAGGCATCCTGGCCTCTCTCCCGCACAGCCCACACAGGGTCCTCCTGGAACTCCCACCCTCATTCTCCGAAATGGGTCTGCAGCCCTCTCTGGACCCTCTGCCCTCGGCCTGGTTTACCGCGGTGGCCTCCTCATTCCCATCCCAACTCACCCCACCGCTCACCTAGTCTGTTCTCTGACCACCAGTGTCTGCAATTTTGTTAAGATGCAATTAGATCACTCCTGCTTCATGCCTGCAACCTGTGCCCCGCCAGGGAACTGCCTTCTCCAAGGCTTCATTCACAGCGAATCCTGCACACTGGCGCCTCAGGAGCTCCCCTCTGACCGGCTCCAGGACCCACTTACTTTCCTTCCCGACACGGACTCCTTCCAGACCCTCCAACAAGCCCAGCTCACACCCTCCCAGGGTCTCTGCCTGACAGAAACACTGCCCAGGAGCCACACGGTTTGCTGCCACTTCCTGTATGTCTCTGCTCAAAGAACATCCCCGACTGCTGGGCCCTAAGTGTCAGCCTCGTCCCCCCGTCGTCCCCATGCTCTGGACCTCACTCTGTTCTTCTCCACAAGTACCTATTTTTCTAGTATGTTTTCTGCGTATCTTGCTAGAATGTGAGCTCTGTGAGGGCAGGCACTGGTCTGCTTTGTGCACTGCCGTGTAACAGGAGGTGCTCCAGGGGCGCTTGCTGGTCATATCGAGTAGGACCACTAGCACTATAGGTGCCAAGCCCAGGAAGTCTAGAGGGTAACAGAGACTTGCTGAAGGCCACGTGGTTTCCAATAGGCAGTCTTGACTTGACTACATCCAGTAATCCTGCCCTGGTCTGGGGCTACCTGGCATCACAAAACACGCCCCACCCTGGGAAAATGAGCCTGGCCCCGCTACACTGCAGCCGTGAAAGGGCGGGACCCCTGGCATCCGCACGCCAGGTCCCCCAAGGCTGGTTCTGCCCTGATTTGTCTCCATACAAGCCTGTGAGCCGAGATTTCTCTGATCCACCCCTCAGTGCTAAGTGCTGACTGGGTCCCCAAATTAATCGTTCATGATTCTCTGACAGGCCCCCGCCTTGAGCCTCCCTCAGGTGGCTCTCCTCCTGCCGTCCTGCCCCTCCCTAGCGCCCCCACGTCAGGGTACCTTGAGTTTCCGGGGCAGGCGGGGCCGTTTCTCCCGCTTGGGCCTCAGGGGGCTGGGCTCGGGCAGCTGCAGGGCCAGGTAGTCAGAAGGGAATGGGGGGTAGCGGGGGGAGGCCAGCTGCGGGCGGGAGCGGGGATGGAGATGGGAGGCGGAGTGGACCGGGGTGAGGGTGGGGAAAGAAATGCAAACAGGAGGAAGATGGAAAAACAAAAGAGATGGTGATGAGTGCGGCTCCCGGGGCTCCCGAACACAGAAGGGCCGGGCAGCAGCAGGATGCTGTCCTGGGCTTTGCTCTCCTCAGTCACGCCTGGCCCCGTTCCTATACCAGAGAGAAGGGGGCAGCCCCCACTCACACCCTCCATGGGACACTTGGGCCACACCCAGACAGATGTCCCCAAAGTTGGGCAGGCCTTGCCCGGAGGCCCAGCTCTTCTGCCCAAACGACGCCCACCTTACTCCCAGGCATATTAGTTCACCACTTCCCACCCCTGACCCCAACTCACCGAGCTCAGGTATGGGGAGGGAACCCCGGAGGCCTGAAGGGGAAACCCTGTTGAAGGAGGCAGGGAGAGGCTGGAGGGAGAGGGGGCCCCCCCCAGCGGAGGGCTTCTCTTCCTGGAGAAAGGACAGCACGGGGTCAGAGGTGGCTGGGAGCCCAGGTGCCCCACCTGACCCTCCCCAGCGAGAGGAATGCATCTTCTTCTCACCTCTTAGGGGCCGGTGTGTCAGACAACTTGGGTGTCCCCTCGGTCTCGCTGTTATCTGATGATGCAGTGGCATCTGAGTCTGTGACGGGGACAGATGGTCAGTGGGGGTGGGGGATCCCAGTCCATCCCAGAAGGGTATAACCTCCTCCACACTACAGAAGGGCACCGGAGGACCAGGTGCGGGGGCTCATGCCCGGAATCCCAGCACTGTGAGAGGCTGAGGTGGCCAGATCGCTTAAGGCCAGGAGTTCAAGAGCAGCCTGGACAACCTAGCGAGACCTCATCTCTATCAAAAACAAAAGCAATTACCCGAGCATGGTGGCGTGTGCCTGTAGTCCCAGCTACTCAGGAGGCTGAGGCAGGAGAATTGCTTGGAGATTGAGGCTGCAGTGAGCTGTGATTGTAACACTGCACACCAGCCTGGGTGACAGAGCAAGACCCTGCCTCAAAAAAACAAAACAAACCAAAAACCCAATAGAAGGGCTCCCGGGGGGGATTCTGACTCACCAGCTAGTGGGCACGCACATGCACCACACACCTGAGCTGTCCCAGGGAGGTCCACAGCCTCTCCAGCCTCCCCAGCGCCCCTCCCGCTCTGATTCCTCCGTAACACACCTGCCACGCATGGCCAGCGAGCCGGGCTCCTTCCCACTCACCACCTCTCCTTGCCATCAGATCCAAGGAAGGATGGGAAGGGCAGCACCTCCACTTGTCACATGAGGTCACCGAGGCTCAGAAAGTAAGGTGTGAGGCTGAGACTCTGACTCCTTGGCTATTTGATGCCACTGGTTCCTTGCCTCTGAGCTGAGCTGTCTTCAGCTCCTGCCTCTGCCCTACACCCCATAACCAGGGTCCTGTTCATCCACCCCTGAAGGCCTCCCCTTCATCCACTGCTCCCCACGCCAACTAACACAGGTCAGGCCACTAGCATGTCAAAATCACCTGCTAAGCAGTCTCACATCACCCTGCCATCCACTGTCCACCCCCAACCCCACAGTGAGCTAAAACAAACCTGATCACATCCTTCTTGATGACATCCCCCACCACCTGCACGAGTTCATGATGCTGCTTAATCTGGCTTCAACACACCTTTCCGATCAACTAACGTAACTGTATTCTTTACACCACACTGACCTATTTCGTCAAAAAAGAAATGTATTTCCTATTCAGTGCCTCTGCCTAGAAGGGCCATCTTTCATGGAACAAATGACTGATACACCTATAGAAGCCATTACCAATGTCTCTGCTCAGAGAGACCCTTTAAGAAGCAGATCAAATGCCACCGCCTCTGGGAAGTCTTCCAGAATCCCTCAAGCCCAATTAACTGTAGGCTCTCCTGGAACCCTCTACTCTTACTCATCATGGCTGCGCTCACACTGTGCTGAAAAGTGTCATTTGCATGTGTCTCCCTGGCCAGGGTGTGGGCCTCCATGACAGGAGTGGGGCTCATATTGCTGGCCTTTGCTCCTCACATGCAACCCACTCTAGCCATGAACATGCTGGGTCCTCTCCCACCTCCTGCCCTGAATTCCCCTCAAACAGGATGTTAACTGGAAGACCCTAGGGAAAGGAGAGGCAGGGGATGAGAGGCTGCAATAAAAGCCAAACCTCCTACTATGACCTACCTGAGTGAGCCCCTGCCTGTTTCCCTAACCTTATCTACAATCCTCCTATAATAGCAAGCAAATGGGTATTATGAGTTCTGACAAAACACTACATCCCAAAACGTGGCTGGCTGCTACATGCCGATCCCTGCCTCAGACCAATGTTTAAAGGCACCTTGGAGAGAGGTGATTCTACATGACATGGCTTATGAGGGCCCCACCCAGGAAGAGGCCCACAAATGCCCACCTTAGGGTTTTTTCAAACTGTGGGTCTCAATCCATTAGTGAGTCATGAAATCAATTTACTGGTGTGCAACCAGCACTAAAGGAAGGGGAAAAAAGCAATCTAAAAAGTATCAGGATGAATTGGATACAGTGATCTTAAAAACGTTTCACTAAACTTTGTTTTGTAGGTATGCATGTGGGGCTCCAGTTATGATGGAAAACAAGTTAATTGCAGACAATATTTAAATAAAGGGATGAAAACAGTGTTCTCTCTTTTTCATCCCTCTGCTTTTCAACCAAGCCTGGCCTGTTCTTACCTCAGGGTAGCTGCATTTATTATTCTGCTGGGGCAGCTCCAGCTCACTTCTTCACAAGGTTGGTTTTTCTTTTTTTTTGGACAGAATCTCGCTCGGTTGCCCAGGCTGAAGTGCAGTGGCACAATCTCGGCTCACTGCAAGCTCCGCCTCCCAGGTTCACGCCCATTCTCCTGCCTCAGCCTCCCGAGTAGCTAGGACTACAGGCGCCCGCCACCACGCCTGGCTAATTTTTTGTATTTTAAATAGAGACGGGATTTCACCATGTTAGCCAGGATGGGGTTTCTTTCTCTTTTTTTTGAGACAGTCTTGCTCTGTCACCCAGGCTGGAGCACAGTGGTGCTATCATGACTCACTGCAGCCTTGACCTTTCAGGCAAGGGATCCTCCTGGTTCTGCCTCCCAAGTAGCTGGGACCACATGTATACACAACTATACATGGTTTTTTTTTTTTTTTTTTAAATTGAGATGGGGTCTCATTATGTTGCCCAGGATGGAAGCCTGGTTTCTTATCTGGTCCCAACTCAAACGTCACTCCGTGAAAAGCCTTTCTTGAGTACTCTATTCAGGCGTTGCCTGCTGCCTGCTTGCTGCTGTCTGCAAGCTAAGAATGGCTTTTTTTTTCTTTTTTCGAGATGGAGTTTTGCTCTGTGGAATGCAGTGGCAGCGATCTCGGCTCACTGCAACCTTTGCCTCCAGGGTTCAAATGATTCTCCTGCCTCAGCCACCCCAGTAGCTGGGATTACAGGCGCACGCCACCACACCCAGCTAATTTTTGTATCTTTAGTAGAGACGGGGTTTCACCATGTTGGTCAGGCTGGTCTTTAACTCTTGACCTTGTGATCCACCCACTTCGGCCTACCAAAGTGCTGGGATTACAGGCGTGAGCCACCGTGCCCGGCCAAGAATGGCTTTTAAGCTTTTAAATGTTTGAAGAAAAAAAAAACTAAAGAAAAATTTTTCATATGGAAATAACACGAAATTCAAATTTCAGTGCCTATAAAGTTTTATAGAAACATAGCCCTACTCATTTATTTGCCTATGGGGCATGGCTGCTACTACAACGGCAGAGTTCAGTAGGTGCTTCAAAGACTGTATGTTGCAGAAAGCTTACTTACCATCTGGCCCTTTGCAGAAACAATTCATCAACCCCTGTTGTACTATAATCATTACCACATAACTGCTTTCATTACCTTCAAGTCCTTACTATGACCTAAAATTCTAGTGTATTGTCTTCATTTACGTATTCTTCCCAACTAAAATATAAATTACAAGAGACCAAGGGCTTTGCCTGTCTCTGCCTCTGCTGTATCCCCTGTGCCAAGCACAATGCCTGAAACACAATAGGTGCTCAGTAAGTACCTGAATAAAAGAACGGTGCAGGTGGAAGGCAAGCAACTAGGCTTAAGGACCACTGGGGGCTGCATCAGCTGCCACTGCCTAAAAGGCAGGGGTCCAGGAAGCTTGCTAAGTGCCAGGAACCACGCCCTCCACCAATTTTTCAAGACTTTGCTCACCTGAAGAGTCTTCATCCACATTCTCGTACTGCAGAAGTCGGTCTAGGAGGAAACTGAGGAGAGAGAAGGAGAGACGGACAGTGATTTCCCAGCGCAGCAATGTCCCCCTGGGCCCCTGACCCTCCCAGCAGGCCCATCGGATCCTTGAAAGAGCCCATGCACTTGTGGCCCTACTCGGGGATGGGGTCCCAATGTAGACTGCCTAGGAACCACATCGCCCTCCGCCCCTGCAACGTGCCTCACCTCTTGTCCCGGGACACCTTCAGTAATTTCCTTTGCGCTTTCCTCAGCTCCTCCTGGAAGCACTCGTGCTCCTGTATCATGGGCAAGGGGTGCGCTGGGCCAACGGTCCTCCGTGAAGGGCCCCCGGAACCGGCAGCCGCTCGCCCCACCCACTTTACACCTGAGTAAACTGAGATTTTGTCCGCCCCAGGCCTCCCCTCTCTACAGCCTTCCCGCGGCAGCACTCACGTAGATGAGGAACTTGAGCTTCCGTTTCAGATTCCGGTATTTCTTTTTGTAGTCCACTTCACCGTCCGCCGGCCCGTTCATGACCGGCCCGGCAGTGGCGCCCAGCTTCTGCAGTCCCGCTACCCCAAGCAGGCGCTGCCCCGTCGCTCACGCCTCCACTTCCGGAGACTCTGCAAGGCTGTGCCACCGGGACTACAACTCCCGGCGTACCGGGCGCCCAGGCGGCGTCACCGCATGGGCCGCCCTGCCGGGGAACACTGGGAAAGGAGCGCGGTGGCGAGTGGCTGCGCTGGGGATGGCGCAGCAGTGACGCGGCGACGCCACAAAAATGGCGGACGCTGGAGGGCGCCGTTCCTGACTCTAATGTGCTTAGACACTTGAAGCCACAAAAGGATTTTCCCCCGAGGTTCCTCGTCTCCTCGCGAGGATGCCTCTTCTCTTCTGCCTTGCGAAATAATAGCGGCCTAGCTGGTGCCCGTGACCACGAAGGAAGGCAGAGTCGCGGGCTGATTACGTTTCACCCAAAGGTTGCCGGCGCCGACTCGGTTTCTAACGAGAAATTTAAAAATGATTCGTTCCGAGAAAGGGTAGGAGCCGCGAGACCCTCCAACTGCCCAGGGAAAACAAGTCTCGTCTGGCAAAGTTATCGGCCCACGCGGTCCGCGGCCAAGGGCCAACGGTCCCTAGCCCCACGGTGCCGCAGCACTGCGCGTGCGCGAACCGCTGTCAAACGCGCTGACGGAGGCCGAGAAGAAAAAAAGGCGGGAGCCGCCAATCCCGGGTTGAGCAAAATGGCGCGGGAGAAGGAGATGCAGGAGTTCACCCGTAGCTTCTTCCGAGGCCGTCCGGACCTCAGGTGCCCAGGGAGTTGGAGATGGGGTTGGAAAGGGCGCGGGTGGGACGGGACTCCGTCCTGACACCCTGTCCCCGCAGCACGCTCACGCATTCCATCGTGCGGCGGAGGTACCTGGCTCACTCGGGCCGCGACCACCTGGAGCCAGAGGAGAAGCAGGCACTGAAGCGGCTGGTGGAGGAGGAGCTGCTGAAGATGCAGGTGTGCCGGGCCGGAGCCTGGGCCGCGGGAGGCGGAGGCGGGGCTTGCTGCCGAGGAGGAGGGGCCTGACGGGGCGCGGTGAACGCCGCCTTGGTGCATAGTTCGCCCTCTTGGCGCACACACAGGTGGATGAAGCCGCTTCCAGGGAGGACAAACTGGACCTTACCAAGAAGGGCAAGAGGCCTCCCACCCCTTGTAGCGACCCGGAGAGAAAAAGGTTCCGCTTCAATTCAGAGTCGGGTTAGTGCTTCCTACCTGCTATGGGGGACTTCTGCATCGTTGGTTCACTCAAGAAGCATTCACTGTGCATCTCTTATGTCCCCAGGCGTTAAATGAGAGAGCGAGGCCAGTGAGTCAGGAACTGGGAACAGCGAGGACAGATAGCTGTTTCCTGCTGCCCCTCCAGCTGTCAGGGCAGGGCTCCAGACAACCTATCCGAAGTGAAGGGAGAAGGGACAGGAGGAGCCTGTCTCAACCCTCTCTCCTCTCCATATTCCAGAATCCGGCTCTGAAGCTTCCAGCCCAGACTACTTTGGACCCCCAGCAAAGAATGGGGTGGCAGCAGAAGTCAGCCCAGCCAAGGAGGAGAATCCAAGGCGAGCCTCAAAGAAGGCAGTTGAGGAGAGCAGTGATGAGGAACTGCAGAGGGACCTGCCCGCACAGAGGGGAGAGGAGAGCAGTGAGGAGGAGGAAAAGGGGGACAAGGGGAAGACTAGGAAGAAACCTGTGGCAAAGAAGCAGGCACCAGGCAATGCCTCAGTCAGTAGGAAGCAGGCCAGGGAAGAAAGCGAGGAGAGCGAGGAAGAACCCGTTCAGAGGACAGCAAAGAAGGTGGAGGGAAATAAAGGAACTAAAAGCCTGAAGGAAAGTGAACAGCTGAATGAAGAGGAGGAGGAGATCCTAGCTGGGAAGAAAGAGCACAGAGGGGAGGAAGAGAAAGAAGGGGAGGAGGAAAAGGAGGATTGGAAACCCAGAGCCAGGAGCAATGGCGGGAGAAAGTCAGCTAGGGAGGAGAGGAGCTGTAAGCCGAAAAGCCAGGCAGAGAGGCTCATGGGAGACTCAGGCAGCGAGGAAGAGCAGAAAGAGGCAGCAGGCAGTGGGGATGACAGTGGGAGAGATGGAGAACCCCCAGTGCAGAAGAGGAGCAAGGACAGGACCCAGCTTAAGGATGGGAAGGGGTTGAGTGGAAGCAGCGAGGATGAGGAAGACAGTGGGAAGGGGGAACCCACAGCTAAAGGCTCTAGAAAGACGGCCACACTGCGCAGCGCCAGTGGTGAGGAGAGTGACTTGGAGAGGGAAGTGAGTGACATTGAGGCAGGGGGCGGCCCCCAGGGGGAGAGGAAGAACCGCTCTTCCAAGAAGAGCTCCAGGAAAGGCAGGACACGGAGCTCCTCTTCCTCCTCAGACGGAAGTCCAGAGGCCAAAGGAGGGAAGGTGAGGGTGAGGCGGGGTGGGAGGCCACCATTAGGGAAGAGGGAGACCCTGCCTCAGGCCCAGCAGGCTTCGCCTTCAGCTGCTGTCTTTCCTTGCTAGGCTGGCTCAGGTCGCCGTGGAGAGGACCACCCAGCTGTGATGAGGCTAAAGCGCTACATTCGGGCCTGTGGTGCCCATCGAAACTACAAGAAGCTGTTGGGCTCCTGTTGCTCACACAAGGAGCGCCTAAGTATCCTCCGGGCAGAACTGGAAGCCCTAGGCATGAAAGGTGAGGCCCGGCGTGCCCTAGGGGCTGCAGTAGAGGGCCTTGCTGGGGAGGAGAGGATCACCAGCTTCTTCTGCCCCAGGTACCCCTTCCCTAGAGAAGTGTCGGGCCCTGAAAGAGCAGAGGGAGGAGGCAGCTGAGGTAGCCTCCTTGGATGTTGCGAACATCATCAGTGGCTCGGGTAAGGGATTTCCTCTCACTGCCCGGGAGCAGATAGGTGAGGTTGGACATTCTCGGGTATCTGATCTCTCATTTCCCCTTTCCCCTAGGCCGGCCACGCAGACGTACAGCCTGGAACCCTTTAGGAGAAGCGGCACCCCCAGGGGAGCTGTACCGTCGGACCCTGGACTCAGACGAAGAGCAGCCCCGTCCCGCACCCCCGGACTGGTCACATATGCGTGGCATCATCAGCAGTGATGGCGAGAGTAACTGAGCTCTGCCACCCTCAGGAAGGACCCTTGATCCATGTACAAAGCATACATAGCACCCCTTGCCCGGTGTCTGTGGAACAGAAGCAGCTTTCTTCAGAGAAGACTGCCGTTCCCGAGGACACAAGCTGTTGGGATGCTACTTCTCAGCTTCACGCTCTCCATTTAAGGTGTTTATTTTTTAAGACTCAATAAAGGAGTGTTCGTAATCACCTCATCAAATCTGGTCCCCCATTCTCACCTCCTGTATTTTGGGCCAGGAAACTGAGGAGTCACTGCCTCTACCTCCTCCCCTGGCGTGGTTCCCTTTAATTTCCCCTGGGTTCCTGGAAGAAGTCCCTGCCTCCAGACCCTGTCATCCAACAGCCACCAGACCCATTGGAGAAGGGTGTGTGGCTCCTGTGCTGCCAGCCTGCCCAGTGGCCCCTCTGCTTTTAGCCTGGCCTGCCCACTTGGGAGGGGGATAGAATGACTTGAGGGCAGCCGGTGCTTAAGCCTTCCCCCTTCTTCTGCAAACAGCCACTTTGTCCAGGGGCTGTTAGCCTCGAAGGGGTGGGGAAAAGCCCTGACCTCCTGGGCCAGTCCCAGCCTTCTAGGCCTCTGGCTACAGGCCCAGCCTGTGCAGTCACATGAGGTCTCCACTGAACTCTGGCTGCTGAGCCTTGCGGGAAGATGTGAGCATGGAGCTGCCTGGGGTCTGTGTGGAAAGCAAACCTAAGAATCTTTGAAGCCAAAGCAAAGAAAACAGGAATTAGAGGTCAAGGGGTTGAAGACCACCTTTAAAATCTGATCTGGTCACACCTGAAGTCATTAAAATCACTGAAATGTTTAGATACACAGCCCAATAAATTCTCTTTTTTAAAAAAGTACAACCAGTACTATTCACTGGCCACTGAGCAAGTCCTTCACGCACACCAAAGACAGAAAGGGTGAATCCTGAGGTCTGTTAGAATAACCAACAGTTTATTAAAAGCTTGCCTGGGGCTCTGTGCCAGCCCCACAGCTGAGAGGGGCTCCCACGACTGCCCCTAGGCCCAGGAGCAGACCATTCCCCAAGGTCCTTCCCTTGTTTCCCCGCCCCAGCCCTGATCCCAATTAAAAAAAAAAAAAAAAAGGACAAGACGGCACAGGACGTCAGACAGTAACAGGGGAATGGGGAGACCCAGGCATCCTGACCCCAAGACCCCATCCTGATCCTTCTTGCCAGTAAGGTGGCCTCTCATTCTCCCCACCTCAGGCCCCAGATCTGCTCTGCCCCGTGGCAGGTCTGAGGGCCCCACTGTGAGGGTAGTATAGTTCTCTGAATATAGTATGTCTAGACCCACCCTTCCCCTCCCCCAGGGGACTAGATGAATATTTGACACGCACATCTCCCTCCTTTCCCAGGCGGCGGAGGGAGACCCTGGCACCATGGTGGGGAGGCGGGGCTCCCAGGCAGCCTTGAGGCACCTATCTCAAGCTAGCCCTGGGCCACTGGCCGGCCCCAAGAAGCTCATGAGATGAGGTGTGAGGGGAGCTGGAGCCAACATCCTGTCCTCTACCCTTGCGGGGGCCTCCAGCTCAGTGCCCTCCAGTGTCAGGCTCCACCCACCCCTGCCCTGCCCAGCTTATCTGCTCCTCCCCACTGCACTTCAGGAATAGAAGTGGGAAGAACCATTGAGGATGTGGGAAGCGACACTGGTGCTGCGACTCAGGGGCCCGGGCACCGCGGCAGCAGGGGGGCCCACGTTCTCACTGCCACTGCCCCCTGAGGCTGCCCGCCGCAGGGGCTGGGGGCTGTTTCTTAGCAGCAGCAGGGCTCCGCCACGGGGTGTCCCACTCTGTGTGGGGGGCCCCAGCCAGTTTGGGGGGCCTGGGGGAGCCAGCAGAGACGGCTGACGCCAGGCTGGAGGGGGCATGCCTGGTGGAGGAGGGCCGTGACTCCAGTGTGCCCCGGAACGGGGAACGGGACGGGAGGGCCAGGCTGGGGCAGGGGGTGGAGCAGGATAGCCCTGGGCAGCAGCCTCGGCTGGGATGCCCCCCAGAGCCATGCTGGAGAAGCCCAGCCTCATGCTTTCCGCATCAAAGGCCTCGATCTCACGGGCCTGCCGCTCAAGCAGACTCCGGATTCGCTCAGAGCGCCCTGTCTGCAGGGCCAGCAGCTCCTCTTCCACCTGGGGCATCCGGAACAGAGGTTAGAGTCAGGGGTGGGAGCCTATTCTCCCTCCCCAGTCCTGGAGGCTGGGCCCCTTACCCGCTGCTCCAGCAGTGCCCGCCGCAGCGCGACCCTCTGCTCCAGCTCCCGCAGTTCCCTCTCATGCTGGCTCTCTGTGCGGATCTTGATCTTGCTCTGGTAAGCATTAAGCAGCTCCAGCTCCTGTTGAAGCTGCTGCCGAAGGGCCTGGAACTCTGCCTCCTGGGTCTCATCAAGTCGTAGCTGGGGAAGATGAACAACCAGTTGTAGGAATCTCCTCCCCCACCCCCACTATCCTCCCCTGCCCCAGGTAGGGCTGGGCCCTAAG